AGCATAAGTGTCAAAATGAAAAAAAAAACAGATTTAGTAAATGACTAAAATCTTTGTCAGATTCTATTATATTCAGTATATTCTAGTATTGACCTCCCATGAGCTGTGTATGAATCAGTACCTGAACTGAATTGAACTTAAAACCTTCCCAGCACACTGAGAAAGTTGATAACTAGCAGGTGAACATAGTTAGCAGAGCCAGATATTTCCCTCGGGAATTGGTGGAGTCAAAACAGAGCTAAATATAGAATGAGTATTTGACCTATCGTCAGTAGGTCACCAGAAACACAATTCTAAATCAATTCTAATGCTGCTCAGTGTGTGCTCAAAGTGTAAAAAGGCAACTGTTTTCAAACATGTTCGCCTTATCAGCGTCATGAGATGATATCTCACTGTTGCATGTACAACTTGTTCCACTGCCTCAAAATAGCCTATATGATTAGTTAAAGGATAAGGCCGGTCGATTTCTATATTAATAGTATTTTTAGCAGTCTCCATACAGAGACTAAAGCCAACAATGAATTGCTTCTACTCGCGGTTAATGTCTGCCAGCTGTCAGTCGTGGATTAGCTTGTTCGTCTGTGAGATAGATCTCCGTTGTTGTTCGGAAAGGATTAAAAACACATCAGGGAAATGCACAGCTGCACCGGGGGACACGTTTTTTCATTACAAAACCCCAGACCCGACTATGTTGCCCCAAAGGCTCTGAGCCAGCATAGTTTCCTGAAGTTGCCGTGAGTCAGAATCATGCGCGAGATCTCAGCTTTGTTGACATTCCTCTATGTCCTCATGTTTGGGTCTGGGAGTTGCTAATGTAGAAATGTGTCACCCAGTACAGTGGGCGTCAGTGTTTTACTAATGTTTCCCCAACGTTTTTGAACAGCAATGATGAGACAGACAAATACACTGATCCAGGACTTACATGCTGACGGACATTAACTATTAGTAGAGGCAATTCGCCATCGGTTTGAGGAGTTTTGAACATACTGTTAATATAGAAAATGACTGGCTTTATCCTTTAATACCTTAACATAGTAGAATGCAGTTAGCATGTCAACACTGAGCTGAAGCCAAAGGCTGAAAAAGCTTAGGCATGATGTCACATCCATACTAGCATTTAATATAACATCAATAATAAATATCAACAATAAACATAACTAACATGTTCCACTAGTAATGTAACAATCTTATGATGAGTTCAGAGCTCTGATGGCCCAGGGGAAGAAGCTGTTTGTTTACAAATCTGTTTGTTCTGCTTTTTTATGCTCCTATACCGCCTACCGGAGGGCAGTAGAGTGAAGGGGGGGAGGAGTCGTGTATGATTTTCCTGGCTCTGCCGAGGCACTGAGAGTATGTTGAGCAAATAAACCCTGTGTTTCTTATACATTGACTAACTTCACAACAACTTGACTTACACAGTAAATGACTCCTGTTTAAGAACCAACCAGCAACAACAGCAAGAAGCAGAAGCCTATGGAGGACACACACACACACACACACACACACACACACACACACACACACACACAGAGGAGTCTAATGTTTATCTCTCTCTCTTTATAAAAAAAAATTTCCCTCTTTATGTTATCAGGGGAATAAGCTTTGCAGGATTATGAAATAAAGACCTGTTCCTAGACTGAGGTATACGTTTGTGCTTCTTTGCAGGAGTGATATTATCAGGAAAGTGTGTTCTGTTACTAAAATGGAAGAGTGGAAGCATGACCTGCTGCCATTTTGTTCCCAAGCAACAGTGGTATGGGTTTGGGAAAAAAAAGTGAAAGGGATATAGAAAAGAGTCACAGACAGCAGACATGGTACACTCTGGTTTTTGAAACAAATATTAGAGAGGGAATTAACTGGTTCATGAGCAAATTATCTAAAATATAAATATTGGTATACTTCAGGTCTCAATGTGTAGTTAAAAAAAATAATTGAATGCTTTTTTTTGTCTTTGTACCAGTGAAGACTGATGTACTGGTGCACATGCAGATCTTTGCTGAATCACCTTAGATAAAATCATCTTCACAGTGCAACAGCCTCAGATTAAATGTGAGTGCTTTGTTTTCATTTCTGGGAATTTACCAAGTGTATCAGTTTTTCAAAAACTACATTTGCTTTGGCCCATTGCCATGGAGGGATTCTTTGCATAAATGTGTCATTCCATTTCCTGATCCTCATCTAGTTTGGTCTTATTGGGATGTGTGTGTGTGATCAGAACAGATGATGTCTATCAACAGGATGTATAAACACTGCTGACAAATTACTATACACAGCAGGGAAGTGCTGGGGATTTTAAGTTAATCACAGAAAACACACTGACCTCTCTCCTTTCAGTTGTTTTATGAAAGAAAACAATCCCACTACTTCATGCAAATATCACATTTTGGGTAAGTTCCCCTGTTTAGCATTCATAATCAGCATACAAACATTTTATAACTGGCTTATGATTCACTACAATATAGTTATAAGCAGCTGTATTGAATGTACAGTAATTGTCTGTGCCTGTAACATCTCTTATTTTAATATATATATTATATAATATATATGTAATGCCAAATTTGGATATTCCTGTTAATGAGGGGACATGACAATCTCAAAGGCCAAATTTATTAATGTTTTAAAACCATTCTAATATAATTTACGATGACAATTTAAAGCAACTTAAACATAATTCTAACTTGTGATACTTCTGAAACTATATAAACTATCCATAGCTTGTACCATTCACCTTATTCTGTAGCAATACATTGAATTCATGCAACACAGATATCGGTCACTGCATGTTGGAAAAATAGCTTAAGTAAAAAGAAAAACATTCTAACACTTTTAAATGTTTTAGTTTCATTTAAGACTTTTAAGGGTTGCATAAAAACAATGTAAGTGCATAATAATAACCAGTTTAGTACTTCATAATACTGCAATACTCCACCACTCCCAACTAATTTGGTTACCATTGTGGAATCTATAATAGCAGCTATCCTGTCAAAATGCGTGAAATATAGAACCTTCCTTGCTTTTTGTGGTGTCATGTCTTATTAATACTTTCACTTTTTTGTCTTAACTTTCCTTACTAAGCTCAACTTTTTGGGAAAAACACTAATCTGCTGTCCCTGAGACTGAGAGGAGAAGAACACTGCCACGCTTATGTACTGTAAGTATGTTAAGCTGGAGCCAGGAGTTGATTAGCCTAGCTTAGCATAAACGAAAATAGCCAGGTTTTCTCCAAAGTTCGAAAATCCACTTACGGTACCAGCACCTCAAAACCTCAGTCACAAACATGATGAACCTTGTTTGCTTAACCTGTATACAAACCAAACATGTTGGTTGCTGTTTTAGGACACAGCAAGACCCTAGAAAGTCAGTGCTCCAACCTGTTGTTCACCAAGAACTAGTTACAGCACAAAACCTCCCACAGCAAGACTATTTTTTTAACATCTTTGTTTGTGTACAGATTTATTAGTGAGCTTTCGAGGTGCTGATAGGTAGATTTTTGAACCTCAGAGAAAGCCAGGCTAGTGGTTTCCCTGGGAGTCCAGTCTTTATGCTAAGCTAGGCTGATCCCCTCCTGGCACCAGCTTCAGGTAAATACTTACTGTAGAGACATGAGAGTGCTATTAATCCACAGCTGTGAAATGACATTAATATACAGACACATGCAATGATTCTCATCCGGCACTCAACATTATGACGTTCACCTGAAAATGAACTCGAAGGCAAGTAAATATTATACAAAATATTACATTTTATATTTTGGGCATCAAACCCATTTTATTTTAACTTAATTCCAATTAATCCAACACAGTTAGTGCACATGCATATTTAAATATATACTGTTTGTATGAAGTGCCATATTTTAAAAGTTCAATATTTCAACATTTAGGTAATAAATTAACAAAATACTTTACTGAAAACACTACCCACAAAGAAAGCATAACATACATAAAACTATTTTTAAAGCATAAATTCAGTGTAAAAGACCAGCAAGGAAAAAAATACAACTGGACAAATTTCTTTGTCTTTACTATGAGAAAAATCAGATTCTTTTTTTTTTACTTAAAGGTATTATGTGTAGGATTTGTCAATTGAAGTATTTAACATTACCATGATATATTTTAACATTACACTACCTAATAGAATAACATGTGCTACAGCATAGTCTCTGAACTGCTTCATAGCAGCTAATCTGATTATCTTTATTATATTCAGCTACCAGTCTGAAAATTGAAAAAGGAAAAGAGACTTTTCATAGTGTTGTAACTGTCATATCCATGGTCTAAGCTGTAATTTAACAGTAATACACCTTTAACTAGAGAATACTACACATAGCACCTTTAAAAACTGACATTTGTGTAGTTCAGCTCGTTATCACTGATAAAATGCAGGAAAAAAATGGTCCAACATTGTACAAACCATTGAGGAAAAACAAACAAACAATCACAATTGAACAAGCAACTACAGCATAGCCATGGGAGTACATTTCTAAAAATATGGTACCGATTAATTAAGTTTCCTGTTACAAAGAACCACCAACGTTTCTGCGAATCTGATATGTCAGCGCCTTAGAAGTAAATGGGCACAAGATATGTTCGCTATGTGCCAGAGTGGTGGAGGTAGAAATGCCCCATCCTGGGCTAATGGTTATCCAGCATAGGCAAGGAATGAATTATATAACAATTTACTTACCTCAAATTGAGGTATTACTGTATATTTAATAGACAACATATGGCTTACCAATGGTACAGTCTGCAACTTCATGTTAAACTGTCAAAAATGCATTTAGATTTGCTGCAAAGGCGGAGGTTAGTCTTGTTATGGTGGGGGAAATTAAGGAAATAGAGTTTTAGGGAAATAGTCGCATTTGCCTTCTTACAGAAAATCTTGACACCACTGTATGTTAAATATGATGCTGTAGCCAGCAGCTTAGCTTAGCATTAAGCCTGAAAACACGGGAAACCAGCAAGCCACAACTAACAACTGCAATAACCAACTTCTTTTTTACATTTTTTGTTTGTCTGTATGCAAACCATCAACTGTATAAAATATGGATGCCATGACAGCTCCCAGAAATGAAGCCACCGTGACGTGATCTCCCCGTGGTGGAGGCATATTTTGTCACCTTTGGACAGAGCCAGGTAAGCAGTTTCCTGCTAAGGTAGCCAGCAGCTGGCATCTCTGCCAGAAAACCTATTTCCTGAAATGTCCAACTTTTTCCTCTAAGTTCTGCAAGAACACTGCCAATCATGGCTTCCATTAGACTAAAATGCAGCACTATGAGAGTGCAAAGTTTGGCTTTAAATTCAAGATTTTGTAGATATACAAATTAAAATAGTTTATTAAAAAAAGTCTAAAATTGAGTGCAGGTCTAATAAAGTAGATCAACTTGTGAATTTGACTGCACAGGTTGAACAAAATCAAAACACAGAGTGAACATAAATTTAAATTTCACTCAAATATTTAACTGCCTTTACAAAGTATCTGACCGAACCAGCTGAACCTGAAGTGCTGCCACGCTGGTTCTGCTTCTTTTCAACCGAATACGCTACAACAATCGAGCTTCAATCATAACATTGTTAGATGTTGGACATAATCCCTCCCACTTGCCGCTGCTCTTCACATTTACTGTGTCGCTTTTGTTTGAAATGTGTCAATCATTAATGCAGCTGCACGTCTGTTGCAACCTAAACTACACGCACTCGACTTCCAGATAACAGTTGGAGGGAAGGTGTGGTGAACTGTGCACCTTTGCTGGGTCATACTGCCAACTACTTTCCTCCAAGAGAAAAATAATATCAGCCAAAAAAAAAAGTTGCATGGCAGGTCTCCACATTTGACAGGCACGAAAAGTTACAGACATGGCCTACAAGTTAAAATAGCTTTTGTTTGTCCCATTTAATGTCAAGTCAAATCAGAAGCAGTTAGCTTTGTTTCAGCAAAAAGATGCTTGATACAGTATACTGTACAAAAGGGATTTCTTGTTTGTTTCATTAATCTTTACAATGGCTATGGCTAACCTCTTTGAATTCTATCAAAATGTGGGCAACACCTAAGTCATATCAAGATAAAAAGTTCCCTTAGCTTCCAAAACAGACTCATCTCAGACAAGAACAAGACGATGGAAAAATGTCAGCACCAGTGGTAATCTTTCACTGAGGTTCTCCAATACACACTTCTGTCAGATTTTACTAAACTGAAGACTAAAGAGAATACTGTCGCAAGGAAGAACATGGACGAAATAAGGAGAAGAAGACATCAAGGTCTCCGAACTGACGAGAGTACGATGCCGAATCAAACCTTTCTGAAACATTTGGAGATATGAAAGGTGGGTTATCAGGCCGTGAGGTGTGGCAAAAAATATTTTGTCTTTCACTGGTCATTTCTATTTTCCAAAGGTGCTTTCCACATTTTTCCAAAGTGTCCTGATATATGTTAGAAAGAGACATACCCTGTAGTTTGAATTGATAAACACAAAGAGAATCTGATTTAGTGTTAAACATCTACTAACAATCAGGTTTGGGGGCTCCTTTAATACTGAGAAAAAATATCAACTGAGTAAATGAGAATTCTTTTTCAAAAAAAACCTAAACAAAATAAAATAATTCCAAACCACACAGTCCTGTATCAAGAAATGATCTTTGATGGACAGAACGGCAAAGAAGCTCAATGACTAGGCATAGGAGGAGATAAATATGGCTTAAGGGTTATATGCATATATTGCTACATGGTTAGCATGGAAAATACTGTGTGTGAAACCACGCATATTTAGTTTGGTTTATTTAAATTCTCTTGGTTTTGTTTGATTGTGCAGGTCAGAATAATGCATTTAGAGCTTGAGAGACACCAGATACCTGCTTTAAGATGCCTGAAAATGATACTCAGCCCTCTTCTAAGAGAACTGGTGTGGGACTCAGTAGGTACAAGCACATACACCTAACAAATAAATGGAAAAGATTAAAGATTAAAAAGATTAAAAAACATTTTATGGGTAAAAAGAAAACAATGTTGTCATATTTGACTGTGTTAAGGTGTTATAAACATTGCACTTATAATTCTTACAAAAAATAACCAAAAAAAAAAACAGCACTGCATTTTTTCCACATTTAAGTTCACTAAACCAACAAGCTATTCACACGGGCCATTTCCCAACTGCTTAAAACCATTAGATTTCACTCATTACACTGCGTCAACACTTCACAGTTTCCAAACTCTGTGCACCAAGAAGAGCTGAAGTCACTGGAGCAGAAAATCTGAATTGTGGCTCTTATTATTTAACTGTAGTAATGTATAAGAATTGATGTCTCTAAAGTGACCAGTAATTTACTATAAACAGTAAGCTTTTCAGTACTTGCATATTTTTAACAACACTCAAGGTGAGGCAAATCTTTCTTTTATACATATGAAATAATAAATGAAGTACCAGCCCTTTCACTGAAGAAAAAATACTAATACTGTATAGTAAGAACTTTGTCGTCTATAAGCTGTGAGCGATTTTGAAATACAGTAGTATAATGACATGCTGGTCATCATCATATTCAGGGAGCCACCCTGAATATGACCAAAAGAGTGACTATTTGGACCTGAGATTTTGGAAAACTGCTCTTTGTCACTTTGTGAGATTGAGTTTGTAAATGATCATTCACAATTTACTACACCTGAATAATTTAGGATTAAAAGCCATCAGTTTGATGCCTGATCTCCTTCTAAACACACTCATAAAGCTACATTTCATTGTGTTCAAGATGTAACTTTAACAGGATGCGTATTAAATGAACTGCCAAGAAAGTATTTGACAGTAATAAAACTGATACTAAAAGAGAACTCAGCCTTCATACAGTATCTTTTTTTTTTTTACTGCATTTCCAGTCTGCTGTTACCTCAGAAATAATGCTCAACCGAAGGTAAAAATTCTTTCAGGTCGCCCGCTGACACGTTAGAGCCCAAGTATCTGCTTCTGAAAACAAACTGTAACACACTGCAGCGTTTTATATCCCTAGCTAAATGTGAAGATGCTATTTGTAGTGGATTTGTGTGTCTCATGTCTTCAACTAGCTAGTATATTTCAAATCAGGACTGTGCTTTATAACAATGACACACTGAGAACAGAAATGAGATTCTCTGTGCAAAGGTATAATATATTAACCGGTTTGACTTTATGAAGAATTTCTAGCAGAATGAGAGTTGAATTCAGCGACACTGAGTGATTGTTTAGCCCAGGGTGCTGTGTTACAGTAAGTATTGCTTAAAGGCAGTGGATCAGATAAATTAATTGAGGCATGCCTGAACAAGTGGCGGTTAAAACGCACCTAACAAGGCACCGCCATTGACTAGCATAGTTTTTGCATTACTGGATCATGGCTTAAAGGAATACACCACAGCCTTTTTAGCCTTTATGCCTTTAGTGGCTGGAGTGACGAGAAGGTGCAACAAGTAGCCATTTTCCTATGATGTGTACTGTTATAGCAGATGCAATATTCCTCTCACCAGGCAAGCCAAAATGTTTATGTGAATATGACTCTGATGCAGATATTAGCATGCTAAAATGTTAGTAAACAAGGGCTAACCAGAGGCACATGGCTGTTTAACATCATGGCCCAATGTTGACTTTACATCATATGGGATGGACGGTAGAGATGGAAAAGATTCGCATGCTAACAACTTACAACATCAAGACGGTTGTGTGGTTTTAGACTTGACTGAGAGAGAGAGACCCGGACTCCACTGCGTGAGAATTAAAATACAGTGAATAGATTAAATCTGGGTTGAATATCACTGAACTATTATTGGCTGATGTGAGGCACTTTCATGTTACTATGTGCCAATTCGACATATCTGACTTTTCGGATCGTAATTACAATTTTGACGTTGACAAGAACGGGAACCAATCGGTAATTACGATGACTCCGATGTGCCATGAATGCAGCATAAAACACAGAGCCTTCAATGAGCACTGCAGGAATGGTTAAAACAAGTCTGAGGAATGTTAAATGGCTTTTGTTCCAGCCAGTATTATATGTTTATGGTAACATTCAAGATCCACAGTAAAATCAGTGGAGAATTCCTTTAATCTAGGGCAGGCAAATGAATTCCGTGATATGCAGCTGTTTATAACAGATGGCACTGTAACGATTAGCATACTAAAATAAAAATCATCAATATGAGAAAAGGGTGCCAGTGACAACCAGCTATGGCAAAGTTGTTTTTAGGAAAAAACATTAAGATCACATAAAATTCTAAAAGGTAAATAGGGCAAAACCTAAAAATGCCTGCTGGCAACAAGACAAGGGGTCCACCCTTCATCATGTACCAATGAGCAAAAAGGCAATACAAGATGAAGGGGAAGAGTGGATGTGCTTGGTCAGTGTATGATTTCATTTGCAATAAACAGTAGAAAGAGGAGGTGTTAATAGTAGTTACACATTAGTGGAGATCTTGTACTTGGGAGACATGTTATTATGGAACCAGATGAAGCTAAAAATGACACCCATGGTTTTGGGGATGCGCTCGTCATAGGCAAACGTCATGGCCTCGTGCAGCGGGATTTTGACCACCTCGATAAGTTCTCCCTCCCGTGGCTCACCTCCGCCTGCGCTGACACAGTTGTCGTCGGACACCTCAGCGTAAAACATGGTCTGCTTGGCACCTGTTATACCTACGCCTGACCTGATGGGGAAAACACAGAAAAGGAAACAAATGTTGTTTTCATATTTCCAGTATTTTAAGATTCTACAGGGCTGGGAATTGTTTCAAACCTCTGCTAATATGAGTGTCAACAACAACTCCAATATGATGCTCTTTTTGATACAGTGGGGACTGTTGGGACTGTTAACGAGGAGAGTTCTCCCCCTCTTCCTTATTATAGTTCATGCTGTTGTTGCTGTATGTGTGGGAGTGCCAGATATGTGGTTGGTGGAGGGGCCGGCCCAGTTTAGGTGGGCCAGAACACCATGACTGAGGGTTCTGGTAGTATTAATGGGCTACAGCATTGTTCATATTGTTGGTTATTGGTGCTTGAGGTAAAAGCTGGTTTCCTGGGGCCATGCGTGTATGGGACTGCACAAAAAAGCCAGACTGCCGCCTCCACTATCTTCACTTTCCCTGAGGTTCTTCATAATACCTTTCAAGCATAAAAACACTGTACTGTGTTAAGAGCTGCCAGGAAGGCACACCTCCGGTAAGTGCCCCTAACCTTAACCTTTATCTGAGTCCAGCTGTAGTTCAACTAACCTGTAGGAAGTAATCCTCTTCAGTTTATCAGCAGGGACATCGTATCCACACTCCTCCAGCACCTCCTGCCGGGCGATTTCCTCCAGAGACAGGTCGGGTTTGTCCACCAGCCCGGCACAGAGCTCATAGGTGATCCCCGCTGAGGCCGGGGGCCACTCAGAAGAGCTCTCCCCTTCTGAGGCTGACTGTCCCTCCTGAGACTCAGGGGCTGCGGCTTCAGCTGCACCCTCCTCAGTTTTCTCAGCAGATTGAGGAGGCTGCTTCTTGGTCCTTTCCCACTCACACATGTATACAGCTGTAAATAGAACTACTGTTACTCCTAGGTGGAAGTAATAAATTATTCTCATAACTTCTGTTTTTCCTCCATTTTGAGGAAAACTGAAGGAAAACTGACACTACTTCCTACATGATTCTGAGATCATACACTGCTTCTGCTCCCTCTTGTTCCAATCTTCATTTCTCCATCTTCTCAGAGCTACGGTACTTGTCTTCTACTAATCATTATGGGCTAAATTTATACACATTGTAAGCATAACAGTTCTAATTCTACTTGAAATAATTGTAGTGAGAATAGCCTGTTAGCTTAGCTTTGAGCATAGCCAGTTACCCCCAGCTGACACTATCTCACTGACACTGTTACGATGGTTTGTGATAACTGTTCCGTTTGTGCCGATAGGGTGTCTCTGTTGAAAGTGTAAATATAAATTGAGAAATGAGCTTCCAACAGTCATACATTAGACTTTAGAAATGCACAGGTTTTCTAAGATGGCACCGACAGCAATGGCAGCCATGGTTACTCGCGCTCTCTTGTGTTTGTTTTTTTTTCTTTGTTTTCTTGGTCTTTTGCAACCCATCCCAGATTACTTTTATCGGATAACTGTTAAATATCGGACAGCTCACACCGAACTACCTTTCTCCGATTTTTGTGATAGAAGAATGCTGTATGGACATTCTGATCAGAGGCGCAGCTGCAATCTACGGGATCTGGAAGAAACACCGGTGTGGCAAGCGTGCGGGTGCCTTAGTGAGGCTACACCAGAGAGAGACCCGGACTCCACTCCCGTGTATCCACCTAGCAAGTCTCCGCTCCCTGGTCAACAAGATGGATGAAATTCTTCTCGTCAACAGGACTAACTCTGACTTTACACGCTCTGCTGCTTTATGCTTCACAGAGACCTGGCTGAGCAACTCAATTGCGGACAGCGCGATACAAATACTGGGCTTCCAGGTGTACAGAGCGGATCGTGTAAAGGAGCTGTCCAGGAAAACAAGAGGAGGTGGAATCTGCTTCTATATAAATGAAGGTTGGTGCACAGATGTCACAGTGCTATAGAGGACATGTAACACAGACTTAGAGACTCTTTTATCAACTGCAATTTTCGAGCTTCATCCTGGTGGGTGCCTATTTAAATCCGCAGGCCCACGCTTAGCGCACTATAGCTCCTGGCGGAACTGATAACTAGCCTGAAGCTAGAACATCCCAACTCTCCACTCATTGTTCTAGGGGACTTTAACAGAGCAAATCTCACCCAAGAACTGCCCAGATACAGGCAGCACGTCACCTGTCCCACCAGGGACAAAATCACACTGGACCAGTGCTACACAACAATAAAAGACGCCTATCGCTCTGTCCCTTGCGCAGCCCTCATACTCTCTGATCACTGTATGGCCCATCTTATTCCAACCTACAGGCAGAAACTTAAAGCTGCAAAGCCCGTGGTCAAAACAGTGAAGAGCTGGACTGAGGAGGCTAAGTCAAAGCTACAGGGCTGCTTTGAATGCACAGACTGGAGTGTATTTGAGGCTGCAGCTACAGACCTGGATAAACTCACTGACACTGTGACATCTTATATCAGCTTCTGTGAGGATGTGTTTGTGCCAAAAAAGTCCTTCTGCACATACAACAACAACATGCTCTGGTTCACAGTAAGACTCAAGCAGCTTCGTCATGCCAAAGAGGAGTGGGGACAGGACTCTGTACAGCCAGGCCAGGAACACACTGACAAGGGAGATCAGAGCAGCAAAGAGGAGCTACTCTAAAAAGCTCAAAACTCATCCAAAAAACAAAGGATCAGAAAGGCACCAGACCCAGATGGTGTGGCCCCCTCCTGCCTGAAAGTGCCGCCAATCAGCTGACCCCCATCTTCACACTCATCTTCAACAAGTTACCGGAGCTGTGTGAAGTCCCCTCCTGCTTCAAAAGCTCCACCATCATTCCAGTCCCCAAGAAACCCTCCATCAGTGGAATGAACGACTACAGACCTGTCGCCCTGACATCTGTAGTTATGAAGTCCTTTCAAAGACTGGTGTCGGCCCACCTGAAGGACATCGCAGACCCCCTGCTGGACACCCTGCAGTTTGCCTACCAGGCAAACAGGTCAGTGGACAATGCAGTGAACATGGCACTGCATTACATCCTGCAACACCTCGACTCCCCAGGGACCTACGCACAAGCCCTCTTTGTGGACTTCAGCTCGACATTCAACACCATCATCCCGGACATCCTCCACTCCAAACTGACCCAGCTGACTGTGCCTGTCCCCACCTGTCAGTGGATTACTAGCTTTCTAACAGACAGGGAGCAGCAGGTGAGGCTGGGGAAAACCACATCCAGCACCCAAACAAAAGGCACAGGTGCCCCCCAGGGATGTGTGCTCTCCCCTCTGCTGTTTTCACTCTACACCAACGACTGCATCTCGAAGGACCCTTCTGTCAAGCTCCTAAAGTTTGCAGATGACAACGGTCATTGGTCTCATCTGAGACGGTGACGAGTCAGCCTATAGACAGGAGGTTGAGCAGCTGGTGCTGTGGTGTAGCTGCAACAACCTGGAGCTGAACATGCTCAAAACAGTGGAGATGAGAGTGGACTTCAGGAAGAGCTCCCCCCACCTTACCCCCACTCACCATACTTGGCAGCACTGTATCAGCAGTAAAGTCCTTCAAGTTCCTGGGCTCCACCATCTCCCAGGACCTGAAGTGGACGTCCAACATCAGGACCATCATGACAGAAGGCACAGAAGAGGATGTACTTCCTGCGCCAGCTCAGGAAGTTCGACCTGCCCCAGGAGCTGCTGATACAGTTCTACAGAGAAATCATCGAGTCTGTTCTCTGCACCTCCATCGCTGTCTGGTTTGGCTCAGCAACCAAACAAGACAAGTACAGACTTCAGCAGACAGTGAGGACTGCAGAAAAGGTCATTGGTGTGAGCCTGTCCTCCATGGAGGACCTGTACACCTCACGGGTCAAAAGGAGGGCGGAGAGGATCACTACAGACCCCTCACACCCCAGATACAATCTGTTTGAACTCCTCCCCTCTGGATGGCGTTACAGGTCACTGTGTGTCAAGACAACCAGGCACAGGGACAGTTTCTTCCCCCTGGCTGTCGCTCTGATGAACACTTAACCAATGACAGTATGACTGGACAATAACCCTCAGTGCAATGTTTACTTGCCCCTTGCATGGGGATATGTACATTCACATTGAGAGCCGATGTACCAAATTCCTCGTGTGTCTGACACACCTGGCCAATAAAGCAGATTCTGATTCAGAAAGTTAGAAATGATTTTTTCCCCCACTCAAAGCTGGTTAGTGATTTTGCACTTAAACCTATGCTAATCAGTTTCCTGGAGGAAAACTCTCAGTACACTCCTGTTTAAACATAAATGCAGTTCATGGCCATAGATAAACGCTGATTTCTTTCAGATAACAGCAATGAGAGTGGAAAAAATATATCAATGCCCAGACTTCCTTGAATTTAGCACAATGCGATGTGGAACAGTCCCTGGTGACTTCTAACAAAGGAGGTTCGGCTGCTTCGTAACGGGGCCGCTATTTATGAGTCTGCATTGTTACTAAGATCCAGTTCAATAAACAGGGATTGTAATTTTGGCTACTGCTTCTTTAGTGAAAGTGCCCACAGGATATATAACAATCTAGATGTAGAACAGTGACAAGAAGAAATGAAATAAGTTGTATTGCAAAGTGCTATTTGTGTAGAGAAAACAAACCTGGACGGAACTGCTTGACAAGGACAAAACAGTGTGAGGTTGAGTTGAAGATCAGCACTGATACACTGGGGAAAAGAGAAAAAGACAACAATGTTAAATAAATATCATAGTTACACAACATTTCCTTAAAATACATATCTGTTTAAATTTCTTTTGTGGTGGTCTCTTCCTGCTGTGGTAGTCTTTAGTTTGAAGAAAGCAGTAATTTATGACTAGAGCTTTATGGGGTTTCAAGTGCCTGCCTGGGGAACATCCAGCACATTGGATGGTGGATATACAAGTATTCTCTGGTTGTGGCTCAACTCAAAATAAAACAAAACAACTAAAATAAGAGGACCACATCAGTCCAGGTTAATATAAGTGTGCTTCACACAGAGAATTGTACTGTATACACAGGTGGTTCACTGCTGTGTGCGTGCGTGCGTATGTGTGTGTGTGTGCGTGTGTGTGTGTGTGTGTGGGGGTGTGTGTGGGACCAACTACCAGCGGAGACTTGAGGCCTGGGGTCTGTGTTGGGAAAGCGGATGTGTCTGAGGCGGCAGGAAGCCCTGCCCTGTCTCTCCCATGGTGAGAGGGAACCGGGGAGCCTACTAGTAGAACCTGTTTCTAGCTGCAGCTCCTCAGCTGGTTCTGATTTAATATCCGTTTGTAATACAGATATTTAAAGCCTGAAGTGTATTTTCAGCAGTATGAAAGATTGTTAGCTGAGCTGGTTTATCCTTGCTAAATGACCTTATATCAGTGTTTGGTGACTTTCTGTCTACAGTCTGCATCTTATTTTGAGACACGTTCAACATGTTTGTGGTGTCATTTAACCTAAAATGTCAGTCCCTAATGCTGAAAACAGAAGTCTAATTTATGAAGTTTATAGCAGCACAGTTTAATACAGCACCACTTTAGTCTCAGCTTTTGTGCAAAGATGACACTTGACATTGACGATTAAAAAAAAAGGGGATTGAAACAACTCCAGAATAATGATTCTCTTGAAATCTTCAACATGAAGGCAATGAAAAATCACCACTCATGTATTTGACAGCCTAGAGCTGCAACAGAGACGATCACCACTGTCAAGCACACGTGTGGATAAGATAATGTGGTGGCATTAGCCCAGAAGTTGCACACAGAGGCCTGAGGCGTGAACGCCATCCTGCAGCAGGTCTGTTTTGCTGTTCCACACCATTACTGCTGTTCTACAACTTCCCGTATTGAAAAAAAACTAATGGCTAAACCAAGAAGCAGGCTAAACAGACGCTCAAGCCTTTTCATGCACCATTAAGCTTTCTCTGCGGGGCTTCAAGCTGGACAGCAGGAAAACTGGATTGTGACAAACATGACAGACATGTGGACTAAGGCGAGCACAGAATTTAGTGTCTTTAGGTAACAACTACAGGCAACTCTACAGACAAACTAGCTTTTACTTCATGTAACGTTAACTAAATGTGATGTATTTGTGAACAATATTACAATTTACAAAACACAATTTACCCTCTCTTCATGGTGACACATTAAGTACACAAGAACATGCTTAGACCCCTCCACACAAAAACACACTTTGTCTTACTGATTGGTTTTAAATGAGGTTTTCTATTCTACTTATTATACCTCGTAATTGCAAGAGAAATATCAACTGCTCAAAAATTACGGGAACATTTGATCATCACAGTGTAACACCAAGTCAGGTACACTTCAGGGATATCAATCTGTCCATTTAGGAAGCACAAGTGATTGTGAATCAGTTTCAACATTGCTGGGGATACACAAGCTTATAACGAGCATGGGAATAAAAAAAAACATAAGAACTACAGCAAGATCTCAACGTATGCAACTGATTATGTCTCTGTTGCCCGTAATCTTCTAGCTCTAACAAATACTCTCATTAAAAGACACTTCCACTGATAAACAAGCACCACTACGCAAACACTCCCATAATCACACAGGTATCAAAATAAAGCAACGGGATCTCATCCAGTCTACATGTTGTTTGTAATGTTTGGATTTGACTGGTGTCTATGGGAGCTCTACAGGGAAACAGGGTTCCAGGTCAGCTGAGAGCCATCCCATTCTTGTTTAAACATAGTTTGTGCATTATTGGCAATTAACGAAGCATTAATTGCCACTAAATGTCAAAGTTACAGAAATGGGAGGCAGAAATGAAGCCTGCTGAGAAGAAAACGTTACGCACACTTAAACAAAAATGCAAAACATTCCTGGGTCCATTCAGTACATGCTAAAGGGGGAATAACACTTTGAGTTAATTTCCAACCGGGGAAATGCTGGCTGTTCCCATGGGCTATTTTCTCATGGAAATACAGGTTTGAGGTTTACTGCTTTTGTCTCAGTGGTACTATTTTTCAGAAGGACCTCTGTTTGGTGTCATGAGTGGAGGAAAGAGGGCTTAAATGAACCAAGACTTACCTCAGGGCGTTATAGCACTGTGAGCAAAACAGAAAGTAGGGGTTCTGACACAAATGTGTGACATTTCTCTTACAGTGCCCCATGTGAAGCTCAGACATTTATAGCTGTTGCCAAGTAGAATAACAGGGCAGCACTTCCCAAAATAAACAAGGTCTGTTTGGGCAGCAGAGATAAGGTATAAAAAGACCACAAGGGAGAGATACTAAATACAGCTACAGGTGATGACACAAAAGTTTCTGTCTTACTTCTGTCACAGTGCCCACACAGCACCGGAAAGCCTCCTAAAAAATAAAGAATTACTGCAGTTTTGGGGTTTGTTAATATTATCAGTCACCTCGTCTTGAATTTGTACAGCAGCTGGACTGGAAAAATATTTTACAAGTAAAAGAAACAAAAGATGGAGAGTAGATATAAGATTTAGGATTTCACAGAGAGTACAAGAGGGGACTGGTGCCAACCAAGCTCCTTAGCACTAAGATCAAGAGGGCAAGATGAGATTCAGACGCTTCTGGGACAAGCTCTTCAGGTTGCAAAATGTCTCCTGACACAATGAGCATTTACATTTCAGAGCTATTTCACTGGAAGATGTATTTTAGAAGTCTTAGCCATGCAAGCCAAACTCTGCTTTGTTTCAGACTCATCTGACATCAGTGTTTCTAACGCATTCAGAGGAAACCGGTTTTATGTGTAACCCATTCTGAAAAAAAGGTTATGCCATTTTGTTTATGTTTGGACACATGGAAAGGATGGAAAGGATGGATAGGGGTGCTTGTTCCATCCAACTGTAATGAGCCAAGTGTGTTTACCTGTCATGGGTTCGCATGAAGTCCCAGGATTTCTTTGTGCCATTCTGTGAAGGAATAAGACAAAAATAAATGCACGCTCGTAACCTCAAACTCCCCTCAGACAGTAGACTATGTCAATTCATCTCTGATTTATTGAACATCATCACTGTACAGGCAACAGCTGCCCCATATCAGATGCTTGCTTCTACATGCAAGTAACATTTCAAAGCACACCCAAAGATCGGCAGACAACCAAAATAGTTTGGCAACCAGAAACACTTCAGCTTTAATTGTTTTAATAATTACTTGCCAAGACTTTAAACAGCAGCCAAACTCTGTATAATAAACTGCAATGTGAGCGGTTATTTCATATCAAATATACAGTTGATATCACTATAGGTAAGCTGACAAATTCATTACACAATTTACAGCAAACACTGGTAATAAAGCCAGAGGTTAACAGACTCGATTAAAATGCCACAGCCCATGCTTTACAAACGAAATGGAGTTGCAGGGAGAGATTCCTGATGACTAAAGACAGAAACATGGTTGGATGTTACCTAACATAGTGACAAAGGTTGTTGTAACTAAATGTTTTCATGCCCTGTGGTCACATCAACAGCAGATGAACACTCCTTCAGTACATTTCCAGCAGCACGACCACAATCAAAACTGCTGAGGCAGGTGTGTGTGACCAGAGAAAACACTCTGGCACACAGAGATCTTAAATATGTGGGCAGTGACTCACACAGTGCTTCATTGTTGGCACATCACTTTGCAGAAAACATAAACATTCTGGTAGCCTGGTTCATTTCGAGGTTATTTTCATTCATACTAGACAGAGCGAGCAGAGGTGTTTGAAGGTGAAGCAGTCAAGCTATCACTGGAAGTTAACATGATAATGTAAGTCTTACCTTTTAATTCTTAGAAAATTAAAGAAACAAAAACATTTTATCGCATTTAAATGAAAATATAAACTTAGCACATCCTCCCCTCTCCTCACTACATGCTGTATAAATATGGTAAAGTTGGCCTACATTTTCTATGCCTGAGGAAATATGGCCTTGATTCAAATTTAGGCTACACCTCCTCTCCACCCACGAGCTCTTTCAGCCGCAGAGATGACAGCGTTACTAGAACAGGCTTATTAGAACTACAATAGATGTCTTCTTGTGTGTGAGTGTGCTGGTGCAGTTTCAGCACCACCCAAGAAATTGGAGGAGGTGAATTGGCAAGCTAATTGCACCGATAGACTCAGATGTAATCAGGCTGCTGTTGTAGCAACAGGATTTGATTTAAGATGTGCCACGGTGCCAAAGATGTATCCAAAACAGCAATATGCAGTGTTTTAAATTCTAACCCTTGCGTGCAGTTTTAATTGCAATTGTGCAATTGTGCAACACTTTTTTCTGCCAAATTCATTGTGATGACATGATATTAATCTTTTTCTATAGAAAAACTTCATGTTGTGGGCAAAATAACAGGAACATCATGCAATAAAAAGCCACAAACTAAGGACTCAACCACAATGTCTTTGGCACCAGCTTATCAAAAAGATTCACAGCTTGCAGAAGCAGACTTAAAGCGGGGGGCCTGTGTTTATTATGTTCGTTATCAATTAATCTGTCTATTATTTTTGCAGTTAATTAATTTGCTTCTGACTTGTGTTGCATATTGACTCATTAAGTGCCAATTTCTACTGAAGATAATAAATAAGTCAATTTACAGATGATAATAGTATAAAACTGAACACTTACAGGTGAATCTAAAGAGAATGTCTGAGGGAAAGTACTGCTATTGTTTACCTTCTTAATTTATCAACAGCAGCTTATCTCCATCCATAGAAAGACTCCAATTTCCCACTTTCAGCCTAGTTTCTGTTGAATATTTAAGTCTGCATACAGGAAAGAGAGAAAGCGATCCAGCTAATGAATAATGTTAGGGCCACATGTTGTAGCCACAGGACCTCAGCGTGAAGCCAAGCTGGCGTAATGCTGTTCATGCATCATTAACTGTCATGTTGTGGTGTGAAATGAGAGCATAAAGCCAATGTCTGTTTAGGTTTTGATGTTACTACGGTATCATCTTTATCTACTGTGTCCAAGCCCAGATGAAGCCCTCCTGTATGTCCAGTATGAGCTGAGAGGATTCTCTCACATCAACTGCAAACAACTGACTTAAAACACAATTACTCTTTGCCATCATTTATACTATTGTACTGCATATCAATGTAGTATGTGATGTACTGTATAGTTTTTTTAAAGGTCTACCCCCCAACACACCAAGCTGATGGTCGGCTATTGGCCGTGAGTGTCCATCGCCTGCACCGTTGACAGGACATGGCGTCCCTCAGCTACTGGGCCCCTCCGTGACATTCGGCTGCCCTTCTGTTGTTATTCCAGCTTCTCTACCCTGTGTTGTCAAAACACGGCCCGTTACATAGACCTGTCAAATAGTTATTTCAAAAAGGTTTTTGCTGTTTTCGCTTTATAATTTCAACATTGTTGGATTTTGGGCTTTTCATCAGACAAAAGGGGCAATCTGAAGGCACAACCTTGAGCTCTAGCTCCAGTTGTGATGGACATGTTTCTCTCTTTGAAGACATTTATGAAATAATTAATCAAAAAAAGAATTAAATACTTGTAAGGATGCATTAGTTGCATCCTTAAACAGAATTGTATTTTTAAACTTTAAATTATAATGTGTGTGGGAGAGAGAGACAAACAATTTAATTGAATTTACAAAGAAGATATGTTTAGATTTACATTACACAGATTCATAGACGAAACAAGATGTAAAGCCAGTGACAGGGCATGTTTCTTTTATTGTCAGCCTTTTGTAAAGCGTTGACATCATCATAACTCCTCTGTCAAGTCATGTCATGAAAGATGCTCTGCCTGTGCTGCAGAGGGCCTACAGTCCTGTGTAATTACTCTCTTCTTTCAACAAAGTGTGCGAGCGCCTTACGCATCATCATTCCTCCTTAAGGCTAAGTCAGCCGCACCCCTCTCACTTTCCCTTGGTGAAAGCAAAACGAGAGTAAAGGCGTGGGTGGGTGTGATAAATCACTTGTCGTGACTGAGGCAGGGATGCACTTCTCCTGGCTTGTTGCTTGGTAAAGAGTGCTTATTGAAAAATGTATGAGACAGAGCATTTCTCCTGTCAACGAGTGAAAAATATCAGAGATGCTAGGATTAACCGTTCCGGGATCCTATTGCTAAAATCAGTCCAAATAAAAAATTTTAAAAATCATGATTAATCAGAAGACTGATTTTCCAAGAAGGAAAATTAGGTAGAAAATTTGTTTTTCCAAACAGAAGTTGCAGGATTTAGGTCTTAAAAAAAAACAACCACCATCTTTATGGTCTAGTTTGTTCTCAGAAATCATTAGAGCTCCAACAAGTAGTCAATTAATCAGTGAGTGGATTGAAAAAATGCATGGTGCACTGGTTAAAAGTGAGGATTTGTTGCTTTATCTGAATATGTGAGACTGACAAGTTGATCAAGTAACAAGCTGTATCACCTTGGGCTGCGAGAAACTGCAAAAGGCATTTAATCAACTGAATAATCAGCAGATTAATAAATACAGCAAAACATCACAACTAATTTGACAATTGAAAACAGGACAAAGAAAGACATGTTTGATGTCCGGCCACCAGAAAACCGAACAAGGTGAGGGTACTCAGCATGAACGCGTCACCACACATGCACACGTTCCCTCGTCAGCGCTCACAGATGGCAGGGTTCCCCTCATTACTTGGGCCACTTGCTGAGAGGGAGGGGGTGGCAGTGCAGCTTGAATGGCCCAGGGGAGACGGAGAATCATGACAGACATGGATTACGACAGAGATTAGCCCATGGGGGGAAAGTGCGAGAGAGAGACATAGACAGAGAGAAAGGAAGAGAATGCGAGAGGAAAGGAAGCAGGAACAGGCTGCACAGGACCTTGAAATTAATGCAGCCCCTCTGGCTTTGGGCGTCAGAAATGACGGGCTCCTCGGTGAATGGCTATTGTAAGGAGGGATGCATGGTCTTCATCTTTTTGGTGCTTAAAGTCTAATAACCATCACTCACACACCTCCTGTGCTGAATACACTATAAAGCCAGCAGCTGCAGGAGGAAGAAAAGAATCAACTACCGTCCTCAAAAACAACTGCACTCTTTGAATCTCAATGTGTTCTCCAGAGTTTTTCTGGATTCAGCTGTGGCCTCTGTCTTCTCACCAGCCTCAACAAAGGCAACACCAGTGTCATGCACACATTACAACCAGCAAACTAACGATTAGTACAGTTTAAAAGTGACAGCAACAGAAGCATCTGCTCCTGCACAGGTTGATCGACCAGTAGAGACAAATCACAGAACCTGCAGTGTTAACATAGCCCGCTAAAAGGGTCCCATCAAAGAGTGAACAAGTGTTCTCCAGTTAGGTCCACAGAAAACATGTTGACCTCATCAGTTTACATGTCCCTTAGTAGAAAACAACCTGTCCCTCAACACATCAAACACATTTGTTCAATGCAGCCAGAGACAATTTCTACATGGTGAACTCTAGAGTGTCACAAACTAACTACATGATTAATAAAATTAATGAAAAACCAATCAACAGGTGACTCGATAATGAAAACAATGAGTTGCAGCCTTAACTTGTAGACAGGGTTCAAATTAGGACGATACTAATACTGGGCAGACGACAGTGGGGTGGGTAGAGCAGTCGTCTCCCAACCAGAAGGCTGAAGGTTCAAATCACAGTGCCTGCAGTCCACATGTCCTAAATGTCCTTGGGCAAGACACTGAACCCCTGATGCCCGTGATGGCGGCGCGTATGCACACAGCAGCCCGGGGCCCTCGGCTCCAAACATAATTTCACTGTACGTGTCACAATGACAATAAATAAAGCTTCTTCTATCATTACTCAAATATTTTTCTAATTTCAATTTATATCATGATATGACAAGCTAAATTAAGATTAAACATGAAATGATCAAATTGATGTGCAAGGTAATTCACTGTGTTCCACTGTTATTCCTTACCTCAGACATTGCTTCAAAACAAGAGCCTCAATAGC